ACCTAATTCCGCGAATCGCAAATGCGTCATTGTACGATTATCGAGCGGTCGGGAAATGACGGCATATGTTCCTGGTAAGATTTATAATTCATTACTTGCAGCAAACGGCTTTGGCATGCATTTTGAAGCCATTTGGAGTATCGTAATTCATGTTGGAGAATTGAAGTGAGTTAAATTATTTCAGGAATCGGTCACAATTTGCAAGAGCACAATATAGTACTCTGTAGGGTTGGCCGATTGCGAGATGTACCTGGTGTCAAAATAAAATGCGTTCGCGGAAAGTACGACTTGCCACATGTAGCTAAACGCGAATAGTTTACAATTAGCTGCTATCAACATCTATCTGTCATCATGTATGTATATTTTTATTAATTATGTACAATACCTACAATAAGTGTAAAAATAATAATTATTTCTTAAAACATTTGAAGGAATCATATTCTTCATTAACCTTTTATAATTAAAAAATTTCTGCAATTCACACAATAATAACATTTCGAAGGACGTATAAAAATATTTTTAATATTGATTATATCAAGAGATATAATGTTTTCGATAATTCTCTCAACTCTGATAATTCCGAACGATTCTAATCTTTTCAATACGATCTTCCGATGTAAAAAATTATAAAATGTTAAAACAGATTTATATTTCAATATGCAATCAGAAATATATTTATTCGACATAAAGGATTGCCCAACTATTGTGAGATTAATTTTTTTGAGATACAATACGAAAAATAAAAATCCTTCCTACGAAATATAAAGAACCTGATGATATTAGGTACATTTAATTGAAATATAGATTGACAATGAGACTTTTATAGAATGATGATCTCAATCCACGTTTCAATTCTATGTATTATATAGTTTTTTAACGAGCATTGACGATATTTTCGAGATTGTTACAAAATTTACGCTAATCGATCACGCATGAAGGTGATTGGAAAGTGATTTTCGTCACGGTTTCGACATAGTCCTTTGCAAATTGCGGCCCTTTGACACAGTTTTGGATCTGCACCCCGCATTCACCGTTACCTGAACCATGCGGCTTAACGGACAATACGCATCGGGATGTCACAGTGGGAAAAGGGTTGTGGCAAGCCTCCGTTCTCTCGACATTACGGCTGTGAACTTTACGCATCTGCAGCCTGCAATCTCCTTTCACCCACGCAGCCACTCACTATTGACCATATGACATGCTGACCAATATCCCGACATTTTGGGAAGTCCGGCTCTCAACCTGAATTGAAATGTTCGCTTTTCGGCGACAAAGAAAAGCGTTCTGCATAGAACCTTGCATAAATTTTCTTGCGTGGAGAACAGTAAAGAAATCGTCGCCCAATGCATTTATTACTTACGCATTATCTTATATACTTTTCCATGTGTTAAAGTTGAGTTTTAATCGTATAATTAAATTTACATTTTCGCAAAACTAAGATGATTGTTGTATTGTAAATGTAGCTCTTTTCAACATTAAGTGCAGAGAATTTAGAAAATATTTCAGAAATTTCTTATCTATATTTATTTTTTCTTTCTATAAATGCATATTTTTAATTAAATGTAATATATGTGTGCGTGTGAATGAGAACCTATTATAGAATACGCCTCGGGTTGCCCCGAGGGATGATGATAGCGCCAAGCGCCACGAGGCGTGCGTACGCCAGAATGTTCTATTAAACTTTCATAACGTGTGTTCCCTCTATTTTGTAAGAAACACAGCTGACGTCATCGGTGATTATTACTCACACAAGTTTATAAGTTTAGAGATTGATAATAAATCTTTTATGTGTGATAGCATTATTGAATTATACGTTTAAATTTACTGCATCAAAACAGGTAGTTTTGATTCAACCTTATTAAAAACACATTAGAAACTAATTATATATATTAAAAACATTTTGAATGAAAATTAATTGATAAATTAAAAAAGCTAATTATTACGCCGGAGGAAATAAAAAAAATACATCGCGAAAATGTTGATCATCAATCAGGATTTATATAAATTCTATTCAATTCTTTTAACATTTAACGCTTCAAGCATCTTAATATATCTAAAATATCGACTAGTACTATTTAAAATGTTTATTTTATATTACACATTTTAACATATAGTGATCATTGATTAAGACCGTCTCGTAGCACCAAACTCTACAAAAGATGATAAAGAATAAACCGTAATATTAGATATTAAGGAATAGAATATTTTAGGCATTAATATCATTAGTTGCATTATTTTTATCAAGAATATTATAATTCTTAATGAGTTTATATCGTTCTTAATGAAGTTTAGTGGCATTAAGATCGAGAACATTAAGAATGTAAGTCTATCCATAATAATCTTCAGTCTAAACAATAATGCATAAAGTAGACTCATTTGTAACGTTATTTTATCGAATATCTTTCTATGTATCCATATATAACGCATACACACAAAGATATTATTTTAATCAATCAATTCGAATCGTTAAACGCCGCAAATTGATCGATCTCATTTTGATTTGATCTAAATTTGACAAAATTTAATCGAAATCAAAATTTGATCGAAATTTGACAAAAGCAATCTTACATATTTGCACAAACATATATACTTGAGATAAAATTCTGTTTGATATACAGAAATGTTTCAAATGCAGACGCGCACAAAGTATCTTTCAACATGCATTGTCGCGACGAACTGATTCAACACAACGATGACGATACCGAAAGAAAGTTTACAATACTCGAGTTTTCAAATAACTACGATGGTTTCTCAAATAAATGTCACGAGTAAAGGTTTTTCGTGCCTCAACTCTTTGCCGTTCAGCTTAGTAACCGAACACCATGCTGCTCCAAAAAGTCCTGCACTCGTAGTTTGACTACTACTTCTTATATTATGAGTATTTTATTTCATTTGTATATCCAGCCGTGCCATTATTTTACTTACTATAATATTTAGCAAAATTATTTCATTAAAAAAATTAATATCAATATTGACGAGTAATTTAATCTGATTCTTACACAGAAATATTTATAAAAGTAGAATTAAAATATATATACATATACAGCTAATAATATAGAATTAGAATATCAAATAATTTCTCTCTTTTTTATGAAATCAAGTTTAATCCACTTAAATTAATTTGTAAGACAGTAATATATATATGATTGTGCTGTTTTATACATAATAATAATCATTATATATAAACTTTTAAAATTTGAAAAACAAGTCTCTAGTATAAATATGTTTTTCATATATTTTTTCTAATAATTCGTAGACTATAGTATTTTAAATTAAGTCTAACTCTTTGATTATATCCAATGCTCGCACGTCGGAGAGATCCATCTGTATCGAATGCAAAAAGATGTTCAATCAAAAAAAAATCTATTCGCGAATGATGCAAATTAAATGCAAAATTATCAATTGAGCGGTACTGTAAATAAGAAAGATTTTTTTGGAAGAAAGAGGAATATAAACGTGCGCAATATTAAAAATAAAGCGACACGAAGTTTGGTTGTCTGTCTGCAAGATAAATTGAAAATTAATTATCGCTAATGTAGTCTTCTCTTTAGGACATCTTGTGTCACCATGCGGCAACGTTTTTTTTTCCTTTCTTTTTTTTTGTAGAAAGACTTTCCGACCAGTTTTTGTGTTATATGGTATGTTTAGATGAATTGAGGTTTTCTAATAATTTTTTTTTATAAATTGCCTTTTTGTAAATTATCTAACTTTGAATTTCTCTAAACATATACGTTCATAAAATATAAAAATAATTTTTTGTTACAGTAATTTTTTGTAAGTGTAAATTATAGCCGACAGAACTTTACACGAAATGTTAAACAGAAACAGCCGTTGCTTGTTGGGTCGATTATCGTCTCAAAATGATCAACAATGAAGAATGTCTGATGTATGCCAATGAATAATTTACGTTTCAATTTATAATCGATAAGTAGTGAATATGGATTAAATCCCCCGATGCTTTGGTATTAATTTTTGGTATGATTAGAATTTTTGAATTCTATAAATATATATAAGTTAATGCGACAAATGGTTTTTATTATATATATATTAAAAATTGAGATTGTTGAAAATTTTGGTTACGTCGCGTGACAGCGACATAATATCTTTGTCAATGCTTAATTAGTTATTCAATTTAGTCATTTACTTGAGTCATAGACTAATTACAAAATCAATAATGGATCACAGATAAGTCGATCACGATTGCGTGATCCACAGTCGAGAAATTGTAAACAAGAAATCACGTAAACATTGCGTGATTGAGACACGCGGCTATCTTACGACGTGTAAGAATTTATGTGGCAACACAATACTCTGCGTACATATTGTAATATAATATTTTCCACGTAAATTAAATATAGCGAATTCTTCCTCTCTTGAAGAGTACAGAAAATAAAAATGGTAAAGAGAGTCGATCCGTGTCGTACGCCAATTTTTTTATAAATGCAATTTATTTAAGAGCATATAATTTATAAATGCAATTTATTTTGTTATTAATCGTTTTCGTTGAAAAATGTTTGTAATGTCCGTATTTTTACCGTGGATTCCTCATTCGAGAATATGATCAAATCTAACGGTACATCTGGCTATTCGTGGCAATCTTGCAAATTCAGGCATTTCGGAAAAAGTGACGGGGTGGATGCGTGGCCATCCGATACCGTTACGAGATATACTTGAGTCTGTGTGAGGGTGCGGCAGATGCAAATAGCGAACGCATTCATCCGTCGTCCGGGACCCGGAACCACGGGAAACATCGGAAAATAACGGGTTGCGAATCGCCGTTCGCGACAACCATAGAAAATGTGGGTTATGCAGCCAAAAGAGCAGCGAAAATTTGTATACATGGGAAAGGAGGCGGTAACACACACACACACACACACACACACATTCGATTTTTCCAAATTGTAAACCTTACGAATAAATTTATTAGGAAATATTTTGAAATGATATAACATATGAAATAATGACATTTATTTTGCAAACGAGATATTTTTATCTTTTTTGCTCCTATTTGTGTTTATTGGCATTTTGCTATAATAATTACAAAATTTTTTAAAAATCGTAAAGAAACAAGAGAGTCTACAAAACAATAAGGAAGCATTTTGAAAACGCAAACTTAGGTTGCGGTTAACCTTTAATACCTAAATATTGCTTAATAAGCTTTCGCTCGAACAAAAGAGACCATTTTCTTTGCTTCAAATGTCAAGCACATCATTTTTCATACTTTACAGAAGGAATTTTACTACTTCTAGAAAACAGACTCCATAAAAATGTTTTACAATTTGTTAAGAAAGAAAGAAGATAAAATGTTAACGCTACTGTTACATATATATTACCGTCCTTGAAATGACAATTCTAAATAAAATAGAACATTTTATTTGGCATTTATAAATTTATACTCTCGAAAAATGCGAGAAATTTGAAAAATGAAATTTGCGAAAGAGTTCTTGATTTTCTAAGACCACACAGATGTATATAGAGTTTTGTTTAAAATCTTCAGAAAATAGACTCTACCAAAATAATTGGCAAAGAATGGCAATCAAAGAAAGAAAAGATTAGTTCAGGTTTAATAAAAATGTATAAAATACATCACCGTATTGACTTTTTGGCATACTGTTTTTACACGACAATTCTATGAAATTTTATTCTTTGAAGTTTCTTTTATGACAGAACGGTTACAAATTATTCTTTCTATACATCGATTAGTATTTTTGAATAATATCAATCAATGTATATAACGACTGATTTATAATATTATATTTTGCTTTTATCCAAATTATTTTTTTGCGCAATTATAATGAACGATTGTATGATTATTCATATTGATTTAGGATTAGAACAGATCAGATTAGGAAGCACGTTATGGCAAATGCTGAGGAGAAATGGGCCGTACAAGAAACTCAAACCTTCGAAGAATCCTTTCAATGGCCAGCCATTTATGAAGGGCGTTGTTTTGAAAACCGTCATCAAGAAACCGAAAAAACCTAATTCCGCGAATCGCAAATGCGTCATTGTACGATTATCGAGCGGTCGGGAAATGACGGCATATGTTCCTGGTAAGATTTATAATTCATTACTTGCAGCAAACGGCTTTGGCATGCATTTTGAAGCCATTTGGAGTATCGTAATTCATGTTGGAGAATTGAAGTGAGTTAAATTATTTCAGGAATCGGTCACAATTTGCAAGAGCACAATATAGTACTCTGTAGGGTTGGCCGATTGCGAGATGTACCTGGTGTCAAAATAAAATGCGTTCGCGGAAAGTACGACTTGCCACATGTAGCTAAACGCGAATAGTTTACAATTAGCTGCTATCAACATCTATCTGTCATCATGTATGTATATTTTTATTAATTATGTACAATACCTACAATAAGTGTAAAAATAATAATTATTTCTTAAAACATTTGAAGGAATCATATTCTTCATTAACCTTTTATAATTAAAAAATTTCTGCAATTCACACAATAATAACATTTCGAAGGACGTATAAAAATATTTTTAATATTGATTATATCAAGAGATATAATGTTTTCGATAATTCTCTCAACTCTGATAATTCCGAACGATTCTAATCTTTTCAATACGATCTTCCGATGTAAAAAATTATAAAATGTTAAAACAGATTTATATTTCAATATGCAATCAGAAATATATTTATTCGACATAAAGGATTGCCCAACTATTGTGAGATTAATTTTTTTGAGATACAATACGAAAAATAAAAATCCTTCCTACGAAATATAAAGAACCTGATGATATTAGGTACATTTAATTGAAATATAGATTGACAATGAGACTTTTATAGAATGATGATCTCAATCCACGTTTCAATTCTATGTATTATATAGTTTTTTAACGAGCATTGACGATATTTTCGAGATTGTTACAAAATTTACGCTAATCGATCACGCATGAAGGTGATTGGAAAGTGATTTTCGTCACGGTTTCGACATAGTCCTTTGCAAATTGCGGCCCTTTGACACAGTTTTGGATCTGCACCCCGCATTCACCGTTACCTGAACCATGCGGCTTAACGGACAATACGCATCGGGATGTCACAGTGGGAAAAGGGTTGTGGCAAGCCTCCGTTCTCTCGACATTACGGCTGTGAACTTTACGCATCTGCAGCCTGCAATCTCCTTTCACCCACGCAGCCACTCACTATTGACCATATGACATGCTGACCAATATCCCGACATTTTGGGAAGTCCGGCTCTCAACCTGAATTGAAATGTTCGCTTTTCGGCGACAAAGAAAAGCGTTCTGCATAGAACCTTGCATAAATTTTCTTGCGTGGAGAACAGTAAAGAAATCGTCGCCCAATGCATTTATTACTTACGCATTATCTTATATACTTTTCCATGTGTTAAAGTTGAGTTTTAATCGTATAATTAAATTTACATTTTCGCAAAACTAAGATGATTGTTGTATTGTAAATGTAGCTCTTTTCAACATTAAGTGCAGAGAATTTAGAAAATATTTCAGAAATTTCTTATCTATATTTATTTTTTCTTTCTATAAATGCATATTTTTAATTAAATGTAATATATGTGTGCGTGTGAATGAGAACCTATTATAGAATACGCCTCGGGTTGCCCCGAGGGATGATGATAGCGCCAAGCGCCACGAGGCGTGCGTACGCCAGAATGTTCTATTAAACTTTCATAACGTGTGTTCCCTCTATTTTGTAAGAAACACAGCTGACGTCATCGGTGATTATTACTCACACAAGTTTATAAGTTTAGAGATTGATAATAAATCTTTTATGTGTGATAGCATTATTGAATTATACGTTTAAATTTACTGCATCAAAACAGGTAGTTTTGATTCAACCTTATTAAAAACACATTAGAAACTAATTATATATATTAAAAACATTTTGAATGAAAATTAATTGATAAATTAAAAAAGCTAATTATTACGCCGGAGGAAATAAAAAAAATACATCGCGAAAATGTTGATCATCAATCAGGATTTATATAAATTCTATTCAATTCTTTTAACATTTAACGCTTCAAGCATCTTAATATATCTAAAATATCGACTAGTACTATTTAAAATGTTTATTTTATATTACACATTTTAACATATAGTGATCATTGATTAAGACCGTCTCGTAGCACCAAACTCTACAAAAGATGATAAAGAATAAACCGTAATATTAGATATTAAGGAATAGAATATTTTAGGCATTAATATCATTAGTTGCATTATTTTTATCAAGAATATTATAATTCTTAATGAGTTTATATCGTTCTTAATGAAGTTTAGTGGCATTAAGATCGAGAACATTAAGAATGTAAGTCTATCCATAATAATCTTCAGTCTAAACAATAATGCATAAAGTAGACTCATTTGTAACGTTATTTTATCGAATATCTTTCTATGTATCCATATATAACGCATACACACAAAGATATTATTTTAATCAATCAATTCGAATCGTTAAACGCCGCAAATTGATCGATCTCATTTTGATTTGATCTAAATTTGACAAAATTTAATCGAAATCAAAATTTGATCGAAATTTGACAAAAGCAATCTTACATATTTGCACAAACATATATACTTGAGATAAAATTCTGTTTGATATACAGAAATGTTTCAAATGCAGACGCGCACAAAGTATCTTTCAACATGCATTGTCGCGACGAACTGATTCAACACAACGATGACGATACCGAAAGAAAGTTTACAATACTCGAGTTTTCAAATAACTACGATGGTTTCTCAAATAAATGTCACGAGTAAAGGTTTTTCGTGCCTCAACTCTTTGCCGTTCAGCTTAGTAACCGAACACCATGCTGCTCCAAAAAGTCCTGCACTCGTAGTTTGACTACTACTTCTTATATTATGAGTATTTTATTTCATTTGTATATCCAGCCGTGCCATTATTTTACTTACTATAATATTTAGCAAAATTATTTCATTAAAAAAATTAATATCAATATTGACGAGTAATTTAATCTGATTCTTACACAGAAATATTTATAAAAGTAGAATTAAAATATATATACATATACAGCTAATAATATAGAATTAGAATATCAAATAATTTCTCTCTTTTTTATGAAATCAAGTTTAATCCACTTAAATTAATTTGTAAGACAGTAATATATATATGATTGTGCTGTTTTATACATAATAATAATCATTATATATAAACTTTTAAAATTTGAAAAACAAGTCTCTAGTATAAATATGTTTTTCATATATTTTTTCTAATAATTCGTAGACTATAGTATTTTAAATTAAGTCTAACTCTTTGATTATATCCAATGCTCGCACGTCGGAGAGATCCATCTGTATCGAATGCAAAAAGATGTTCAATCAAAAAAAAATCTATTCGCGAATGATGCAAATTAAATGCAAAATTATCAATTGAGCGGTACTGTAAATAAGAAAGATTTTTTTGGAAGAAAGAGGAATATAAACGTGCGCAATATTAAAAATAAAGCGACACGAAGTTTGGTTGTCTGTCTGCAAGATAAATTGAAAATTAATTATCGCTAATGTAGTCTTCTCTTTAGGACATCTTGTGTCACCATGCGGCAACGTTTTTTTTTCCTTTCTTTTTTTTTGTAGAAAGACTTTCCGACCAGTTTTTGTGTTATATGGTATGTTTAGATGAATTGAGGTTTTCTAATAATTTTTTTTTATAAATTGCCTTTTTGTAAATTATCTAACTTTGAATTTCTCTAAACATATACGTTCATAAAATATAAAAATAATTTTTTGTTACAGTAATTTTTTGTAAGTGTAAATTATAGCCGACAGAACTTTACACGAAATGTTAAACAGAAACAGCCGTTGCTTGTTGGGTCGATTATCGTCTCAAAATGATCAACAATGAAGAATGTCTGATGTATGCCAATGAATAATTTACGTTTCAATTTATAATCGATAAGTAGTGAATATGGATTAAATCCCCCGATGCTTTGGTATTAATTTTTGGTATGATTAGAATTTTTGAATTCTATAAATATATATAAGTTAATGCGACAAATGGTTTTTATTATATATATATTAAAAATTGAGATTGTTGAAAATTTTGGTTACGTCGCGTGACAGCGACATAATATCTTTGTCAATGCTTAATTAGTTATTCAATTTAGTCATTTACTTGAGTCATAGACTAATTACAAAATCAATAATGGATCACAGATAAGTCGATCACGATTGCGTGATCCACAGTCGAGAAATTGTAAACAAGAAATCACGTAAACATTGCGTGATTGAGACACGCGGCTATCTTACGACGTGTAAGAATTTATGTGGCAACACAATACTCTGCGTACATATTGTAATATAATATTTTCCACGTAAATTAAATATAGCGAATTCTTCCTCTCTTGAAGAGTACAGAAAATAAAAATGGTAAAGAGAGTCGATCCGTGTCGTACGCCAATTTTTTTATAAATGCAATTTATTTAAGAGCATATAATTTATAAATGCAATTTATTTTGTTATTAATCGTTTTCGTTGAAAAATGTTTGTAATGTCCGTATTTTTACCGTGGATTCCTCATTCGAGAATATGATCAAATCTAACGGTACATCTGGCTATTCGTGGCAATCTTGCAAATTCAGGCATTTCGGAAAAAGTGACGGGGTGGATGCGTGGCCATCCGATACCGTTACGAGATATACTTGAGTCTGTGTGAGGGTGCGGCAGATGCAAATAGCGAACGCATTCATCCGTCGTCCGGGACCCGGAACCACGGGAAACATCGGAAAATAACGGGTTGCGAATCGCCGTTCGCGACAACCATAGAAAATGTGGGTTATGCAGCCAAAAGAGCAGCGAAAATTTGTATACATGGGAAAGGAGGCGGTACGGTGAATTGAGCGCGGGGGTGCTTTTCTATGAATGACAAGACGCTTTAACCCGGGCCCGGAAGAGACGACTAAATTTGGCGTGATCGCGAGACATCGACATAATGAGGGCCCGTGTGAGTTGCAACTCGAGAGTGCTCTTGTTCCTCCGACGATTTTCATTTTCATTTTGGTACAAGCAAATCGTTTTTCAACGCAAAAATCCAAAGGATATTTAAAATAAAAAAGCATTAATAAATTAAAGATATTAAAAAATAAATTAAAGATTTTCACGAGATAAAATTGCGATTACTTCTTTTTTCAAAAAAAGAAATAATGGCGTGTGAGAATGTATCTCGAGCTTTCCTTTGATATTATGCTTTTATTCAATTTAACTTGTATTAACATTCGTCATTATTAGAAAACAATCATTCTTAAGATCTAATCAGTATTTTTTTCAAGCGCATAAAACATCTCGATTTATTTTCTCTCGCATAATCTGATTTATTTCCTCTTTCTTTTTCTTATTATTGTATAAAATGTTTTAAAATCAGATGAACTTTTAGATATATATAGCGTATTTCAATTTTTGATTTTTTTTGATTTGTGTTTTATGGCTTTATAAATCATGAATAAAGTACAAAGTAAAAGATGAAGCGATTTCTCACGCAATACTTTTTGACTTGAATGTCATATATTTTAAGTCAGAAAAGAAAAAGTTCTTAATGATGTTTACTGATAATACGGACCAAGTATGTCAGTGGGTGGTGAGACGTAACAATGTATAGAAAGCTGGAAATTTGCATTGTTTCATATAGAGAGAGAGTTACGTAGCATTTCAAAAAAGCTTTGTATGTATTATAATTTAAGACTTATTGTTAGATTTATGGAGCATGTTCATAGTGATGCAAGTGTATAGAAAGCGGTATAACCCTTTGCCAAGTCAAGCAACCGTCGCCAACATAAAAATACATAAATTAAAGAAAGAACTATTCATCTTCTTTTTTAAAAGATTTTTGCATTGGACGTTTGATGCGCTTGTGTATTGTGTGTCATTTTGGTAAGTTTTGGTTAATTAGGATACGTATGGAAATGCTACTGTGGTAAGTATTGTGCTATTGTGTAAGAGCATTGAATTGTGACAAATTAGGAGGCGTGCAAATAAATTTTCGCCACTTTTTCGTGGCGATTTTTAGATTTCAAACAATCAAATCACCTTTTTTTAAAACTATTTAATTTATAATTTAATCGAAAGCTCCTTTTTTAAATTTCTAAGTGGAAAACTGTTTGTTTATTGCCTATTTGAGCTTAATTTCTATATAAATTAAACCTATTGAAATGCTTTAGAATTCATAAATGTGAAAAAATTGAGATTGAAAATAGGAGGAAATTTTCGATTCGGATATGTTATAACATTTTTTTCTCTCTCTTATCATTCTCTATAGATGCTACATTTGAATATATTTCAATACATTCAAATATGCTATTTGAAAATCATCCCTTAATTCGCACTCTGTCTCAATGACAAAATGAAAATGCCATTGCCACTCTGATTTCTACTCGTTTTTTCACTTTTTATGATCACGTAACAAATGTGTAGCAGCAGAATATATCTCAATAATCCCTATTTATTAAGGAAAAACTGATTAAGAATAACGGAAAGTCAAAGAATAAGAGAAGGCACAATAAAAGAAAATTGTTGCAATATCGACTTAATAATCGCGACAATTCTTGCGAGACGTAATGTTAAGTTTGACGTCAGTATCTTTCGTACACGCAATTTTAATTTCTTGAAATCACGTAAATATCGAGAAGTTTGATGATTATATCGTTTACATATAATTATGAAAGCGAATTTTTGCTGGAAAATTTGCTATAAATAGAAACGTGGAAATATATTTAACGTGTTTCTAAATCAATAAATAATTTTCTAAGAATGAGAAAAAAAATTAATTTTCCGATTTTTAAATTCCGCTGATTAGCTAAATAATGCGATTAGACTATCCAAAATAACAATATTGCCGCTGTCGTGTCGCAATGTTGTTTGTAATAAAAGGAGATTTGAAATGGACCACAAAATCGTATTTGATGCGGATATTTGCCACATTCTTTTTTTTTCTCGATCTTTCAAATTCTTAATCAGTATCGCATCGCTTTAATCGATTGTGTCTCTGATAAAACAGTTGCATCGGAGAATCGTTCGTAATCGTCGATTTTAAAATAAACAGTGATAATTCTCAATATAATAATAGTTCATTGTATCTACGATAGATCATACGAATGACACATGATCTCAAAGTGATGATATTGCTCCGAAGAAAGGTATTCATGAAAAGGGGAGGGAGAGAAATACGACGCATGTTCCAGCCGTTTAATATTTCAAAATAGAAAAATTTATTGTATTTCGTGAGATCTTCTTGGCAAAAAAATTAGGTAATAAAAATCAACATGCGATGTAATTTTTATATGAAGTTGCGCGGACATTTTTGGGCGTGGTCTAGTATTCGGGATGTTTCGAAAATCGCCGAACGATAAACACGCGTTGATTTCGGGATTTTGTGGCCAACAGGTAGCATAGTTTCCCCACTCCAGCACAATTTCTCCTTCTAAGGGCTCCTATCTGGGGCCTTAAGGGTATAGCTCCATATACATAAAGCTCCGCTCTTCAACCCCAAGATTAGATGAATACGGAGTTTCGCGCGGTCAACACGATCGACCGGACGTAAATCGGTATAATACTCTTCCTGTGCTCTTTAAATCGCGATCACGGTTTAAAGATAGGATAATAGGACAATCTTCAAGAAAGTCATCGATGGTGTTGTATTATCAATTCGTTGGAGTAACCTTGGAGTAAGGCTGAATTATTAGGTAAGCAGAACGATACGTATTTATGAAATGCGATAAAATTCCGTCGGATATTAGATAAAACTTTTGTGCTTTTAAGGTTCCTTTAATCCTTCATTCATATTGAACGGATGAGAGTCTCTTTTTGGTTCGTGGATTAACAAATACCTGTAAATCTCGATCAATTATCATAAAATATCTAATTTTCGTTGAAAACGTAAGACACATGCAGACACGTGCATTTATTTTACAGAATCAGAAGAAAGTTTTCCGTACATTTTATTATATCATCGAATACGAGTTGTAATATATGAAAAAACTTTTTTGCAAGAAAGAATTTTCACTCTCGAGTCGCTTTTTCATAGTTCAATATGGTTGCAGTTACAGGAATCTTAAGTTTAAATAATTTTCCGCTATTTTATCTTACGTCGTATTATGTCGTTGAATTTATTTGTAAAAAAGAATATATATATATATACAAAATTTTGTTAAAGTATTGAAAGTAATCTTGTACTGTTCGCGTTTATAACTTTCTCGATAATTCACTTTATATATATATATATATA